TCATTGTTTTACCAAAAAATATATCTCATCTACCAATTATGGTGGAATATTTTATCGATCAAGAAAAATATTTTTATTTAATTTTGTTGCACTTCTACGCAATTACATGCGTCGGAGGAATTGTGATATTAGCAATAGGAACATTGCTCCTTACATATTTTCAGCATATCTGTGGAATATTCAAAATTGCTGGGTACGGATAAAGATATACGAATAGTCATAATAATTTAAACTGTAATCAAAATTTAACTTTAACATCATGTTTAAATAACGTAATGTATTAAAAAGTTTATGAAATTATGTATTTTTAACTGAAAAATTGTGTCATTCAATAGATTGCTGTATAATTATACAAACATTTATAGCTATCGTATTGAACATGCAATAAACATCAATATTCGACAAAATATTACGCCGAAAAATAAAATTTTGATGAACGAGGGTATAATTTGTGCCGTCGATATTCACCGACAAGCTATGAAGTTAGTATTCACGCTCTCAACATATAAGTAGTATGATTATTATTATTACATAAATAACATACTTCTATTTTTGAAGATTGTCGAAACATTTGCTGTCTATATTTGAAGTAATGATGTTTTGTTTAATAATAGTTGGTGTAAGTTGCTTAACCCTAAATCTATTTCAAGTAAGTTTTCTGTTTCGTATAGTAATGTGAAAATGCATGCAAATGCTGCTCCGAAATTATGTATATTATCAATTCTATTTAGTAAGTACATAAGCCAATAATGCCAGAATTATAAATTCCCAATAATAATAATTATTATATAAATATATATTATAGAAATATATATTTTGTATGAATAATATAAAAAATAACGATGTATATTGTGAAAATAAAAATAATGATTATACATTGCAATAAAAAATTCAATAATGTTGAAGATATATAACATAAATTTACTAGTAGGGGAGACCAGTCTCGTCGGCACAGTCTTCACAATATCGGCATTAGATTTTTTAGCAATAACAATTAATTATTACAATTAAAATATATCAATATGATAGAACTTTTCTCTACATTTTCATATCAGTAATGGTCTTGTATACTATATAGTTTCTTTGTAATAAATGAAATACGATGGACATGCTGCATTATAGTTAACTTGTATCTCCTCCCGATATGTGGGGTAAAATTGATACATATTACAATATAAATTGCCTCTATAATAAACTTTATATTAAACTAACATAAGATAGAAAAGTAATAGAAATAAAAATTAGATATGTATTTTTTAGTAAAAATTGTCTCTTTCAAATTTATTTTGTAATGATCATATAGCAAACTGTTGTTACAGAAAAATAAGTGTAAATTATTTTAATTATACCCCGCTTTATTACTTATAGTAATATATTAAATATAAAGCATCAGAATTAAATTAAACGTTTACACGTGAGATTCAGTACAAAGCAAGTTAATCTTGTTCGTGAGGATGTATGCCGAAATGATATTCGTGAATGATAACACACAATCTTTGCAATGAACAATTCTTTAATACAGACAATGTAGGATACACGGTAACATGATCGAAAAAGTAATGATAATACTGTATAGAGCGCGATCGTTGCGGCGATCGAAGGATTGAGATAAACTCTGGCGGAACGCTAGAAATTAAAACTAGAATCAGAAAATGTTAATCCTGCAAGGGAAAAAAGGGTGCGTATTTTGATATTGACGCTAACTATTATAAATGTACGAACATATTGTGCTTCTTGAATCTATCAAAATATAAAAAACGAAAATAAATCATAGCTAAACTTTAATTCAGAATGAACTTATATGTTAATACTAGTCATTAAGTGCGTTAACGCTTTCTTTGAACGGCAATTGATAATACAATTATCATAGAAGCAATTTATACTGTGACATGTACCAGTTTATCCCACATATCGGGGCAAATTAATTACAATGCAGCATGTTTGTATTTCATTTATTGCAAAGAAATTAGAAAACCATTATTGGTATGAAAATATACAGAAAGATTCTCTCTATCATACTGATATATTTCAATAATAATAATTAATTTAAAAATCTAATGCCGGAATTGAAAACTACCAACAAAACCCGATTTCCCTTATAGCTGATCTATGTACTCTTTATACATTTTTTTATATTTATATACCAAAAAAAATATATCTCCTTTTTTTTTGTTGGTTAATATACAATATTGCCAAACATTTTTTTGATGCTACTTAAATTCATCATTATTCTTAGACTAATAGTAAAAAAAAATGTGTATGTATCCACATATACAGAAGATTCATAATCTCCTTTAAATTTGTATTTTAGATATTTCAGAGTGCTTCATTTGAAAATACTATCAACGAATTTTGTTTTCCGATGTTATGTGTGGCTTTCAGTATTATATATATGTTTGTATCCAACCATATCGGACAGAATATAATAGATCACAATAATTATGTATTCTCTACTGCGTAAGAAACATTTCATGATGAGTATATGAATATTTGCACTGAAAGAACTATTTGCTAAAACTCAGATGGCCAAATGCAATGAGTTTGCAGTCATGTCAATAATTCTTCAAGCAATTAATTCGATAAACTCGGGACAAGGTGATCGAGACAATATTATGTTTATAGCAAACTCACGTTAATTCGAATTATATAACAAATTGATGGCAACATTAATTTGCTATTCGTGAAAAAGATAATTTTTGATAGTAACTTTACAATAACTGGTGTTGCTAATTTGTCATTTATAATTGATAGCAAAAGTGTTGTTTCTATGTGTCTCTTGTTTCGTCTGATGTAAAAAATAATGTACTTGCAAAATTAGCAAAGCTGAAAATAACTATCACAGAAAGTTTCTTTTGTCAATTAGTACAATTTCACAGGTACAACGTTCAATGGTATAGAGCTCCGTTACGTATACAAAGAATGATACTATTTTTATTACAAAGAGAAACTAAGATGTTTACTCTGAATGTCGGGGGATTATTTAATGCATCTATGGAGTGTTTTGCCACGGTAATATAATACGAACAATCTATATCTACTATATTACAAATAAATATTGTAAAAAGAGATATCTTTAATTGCAGTTAATAAAGACTTCGGTATCTTACTTTACTGTCATATATTCCACGCGGTGATAAAATAAATATGAATTTAATAATAGAACATAGTCTTTATCTTTTTCTAATTTGAAGTATTAGAAAAAGATAAATAATAGGTTAAATCGAGATTATAATTAATCTTACATTAATGAAATTTAAAACGTCCATAAACATAGTGTGAGTAAAACTGTACATATCATACAAATATAAACAATAGATTCAATTAATTTATTATAGAATCTATTATAATAATATTCAATAGATAACATTAATAATATTCTAACGATATTTTACAAAATATAATACATTATGACAAAAAATGTTCAATTACCATGTTTTAAATTGACATAAGATGTATTAATGATGATCTATACGGAAGCAAAAGAATAGAGGATATTTATCTCAAAGATCAAATGTATCATGTAAAAGTTTATACGGAAATGAAGTTATAGCATCAAAAAACAAAGGATGCGCTTGCGTGACTTCTGCCCTTCGATAAAATTCGAAATGTCTTTTATTTTTTCTTTTATTATCTTATATCTTTCTTTTATTTAAAAAAAAAATTCATTCATAATTGTCTTGATGTCAGAGAGATGTCTTAATAATTCACGTTGCAAAAAACAATAAAATATTAATGAAATTGTCATCTCACAATGGATATTTTGTATAGCCGCATATTATACAAATTATAGCATTCACATTAAAAATTTACATTATAAAAGAGAATATTAAGGTCGTAGAAAAGGAGAAGGGATAATTGTACTCGTCGACTGCTTTATAACCAGTCGCATCTTGGACATCATAGAAAATGGTTCATCTAGGTATTCAATATTTTAGCTTCAATAGAATTCTATTGCTCGTTATGGGCTTGTGGCCCTATCAACAATCTAAATTCGCACAATTTCAATTTATTTTCTTCTCTACTATTCTGATATCAGGTATTATATTTCAGGTAAGAACAGAGTATAGTAATATTGTGTAATAAGATACATTTTGCAAATCTTCATTATATAAGTAGTCTCTCTCATTATTACGTATTATAAGTGTTATATAAATTTCTAATTTGTTTATAAGCGTATAATTAAAAATAAAATTACTTCTGGTAGTTCACAACGCTAATAACATCAAAATGTACTTCAAATCTCATCAACAAGGTCCTATCTTCTACGTCTTATTTTATTTTTTGCATGATATGTTATGACTCATTCAGTGTTAACATCAAAGCTGTAAGTTGACAACTTACAGGGTATACATTTGCATCGTCTTTGTCCATCTTTGTGAATTTTTGTATATTACATATCAAATTTAATATATGAAACATTTGTTACATAATATTATATAAAAACAATATATGATATTATTGAAATAATAACAGGTAAAGGATATATTAATGCAACTTGAGCATATATGTAATCAAGTAAAAGATAAAAACGAAGTTGCTATCATAGAAGAATATAATTACATTGCAAGACGTCACACAATTATACTTACAAGTAAAACAATATTTTCAGATCTATGTTTACAATTAACATGTAATTTGTGATTAGTACTTCTAGATATTGTTATGTATATGATTGCACAGATTCTATTAAAGTATTGCCGTACTGAGTTTATAATGATTAATGACATATTAATGCAATTTGAGCAATAACATATAGCATAAATTGCATAAATAATATACAGAGTGGTAATTCTAAATAGAAATTAAATGTATTAAATGTATTAATGAAATAATACATAATATTATAGTATATTAGTGTGTACGTGCGTATATGTGCGTGCGTGCGCGTGCGTGTGTACGTGCGTGTGCCAAATTGTATAAATCTTGATAGGCTTATATTTCAGAATTTTTAATAAAACTTTTTCTAATTTTTTTTAGTATTTTGCACTTCCGGATCTATTTGTATTATCGGCCAGCATTTATCGAATAATTTCATTGTTTTACCAAAAAATATATCTCTACCAATTATGATGGAATATTTTATTGATCAAGAAAAATACTTTTATTTAATTTTGTTGCACACCTACGCAATTATATGCGTTGGAGGAACTGCGATGTTAGCAATAGGAGCAGTGATTCTTACATGTGTTCAGTATGTCTGTGGAATGTTTAGAATTGCAAGGTACGACAAAAAAGGCTGGAATAATCATAATAATTTAACTGTAATTAAAATTTATCTTTTAACAGCACAATATATTTAAACAACATAGTATTTTAAAATAAATCAAAGATGTGAAAGGGCACATAAAAGTCAAAACATAATTAAACTTATATAAAAAATTTATAATATAATATGATAATTGTATAAAAAAATGCATTACATGGTTTGGTTTCCTCACTGAGCCATCTTCAGATGCTAATTACTAATGTGTATAGGCGATATATTACTTTAGATAAATATTAACATGATGATATATGGACATTCCAAAGAACAGAGAAGATTACTCGTTTTCAAGCCGAATGTTTGGAAATTCTTTTTGTTCTAGAGAAGAAATTGGTGTTAAAATTGTTTAACGCGAGCATTAATTTCATTCACGTGAAACACTCACCCGTCAGTCGCCAATTTCATTTCTTATATTTTTAACTTTGTCAGAAAAATTAGAACATCGATGACGTGAGAAAATAAATTCCAGTCAGAAAGTTTTCATAAATTATTACATATTACCAAAAATAAATTATATATATGTGAAGAAAATAAAATTTGAACTTAAAAAACTGTGTAACCAGTACGGCAGTCAGATACTTTCTGAGGAAATCAGACAGATCGACAATGACTAAAATAAAAATAATGTCAAATTTTGTTTATGATAGAAGTATAGGATTTCATCATCGATGTTCTAATTATTCTGATAAAGTTAAGAATGTAAGAAATGAAATTGGCGACTGACGGGTAAGTTTCATATGGATAAAGTTATTGCTCGCGTTAAACAATTTTAACATCAATTTCTTCTCTATACGGAAAAAACACAGCTGAAAACTTCACTGATTCAGCAAATCTACAGCCGTAATATACAGACAGTCAATTTTCTATGTTAAAATAGTTTACTTCTATGTCAAAATTGACAGCTGAATAACATTAGTTAAACCGTCAAATCTTCTTTTATCGATGTTGATTTAGTTATCGATGTTGAATTCGCGTAGTAATTATAGGTTTGCTGTATCAGTTAACTTTTTTTTCAACAAGTGCAAAACAAAGAGAATTTCCTAACATTCGATCTATAAATCGTATGCAAGTAACCTTCTTCTTTCTTTATGGAATGTCCATTCGTTCATGATCAATAACTGAAAGAATATCGTTTTTCTCTATATCATCATGTTAATTCTTATCTAAAATAATATATTAATTGCACATTGATAACTAGCATCTGAAGATGGCTCAATGAGAAAGCCGAAATATTTTTTAATAGAATTTTTATATAATTGTTACATTATATTATAGATTTTTTGTATAATTACGTTTAATTATATTTTGACTCTTACGTTCCCTTCACATCTTCGATTTATTTTTTGAAAAACTAAAAGTCTTGTATTTCTTATTATTTAATTATAATATCTTAAAAAGTTTATGAAATTATGTGTTTATAATTGAAAAATTATCATTCAATAAATTGCTGTATAATTACGACATAATTCATTTACAGTTATCGTATCGAGCATGCAATAAATATAAATAGCCGACAAAATATTACGCTGAAGAATGAGATTTTGATGAGCGAAGGCATAATATATGCTGTCGAGATTCACCGACAAGCTATGAAGTTGGTATGCCCACAATATACAAAAAATATGTTTAATAATATATTTCTGTTTTTGAAGATTGTCCAATCTTTTGGTATCTATATTCGAGATAATGGCGTTTTGTTTAATAGTATTTGGAGTGGCTTGCTTAAGTCTAAATCTGTTTCAAGTAAGTTTTCTATTTCATATTGTAATATATGAAAATCCATGCAAATGCTGTTCCGAAATGTATATTAACAAAATTGTTCAGTAAGTAGATAGTGCCAATAATGCCGCAGTTATAAATCCCCAATAATAATTTTTATTATATAGATCGGGATAATTTTTATTATATAGATTTATTATAGAGATCGGGGCAAGTTATTACAATTTTTGATTAGCAATTTTTTTCCGTATTAATGTATACATTTAAATTAATGAATACCTATGCATTGCTTCAAGTACATCTTTAATTGGATAGTCAATTTTTTTCTGATTTGTATCTGTGTCTTTAAATATTGAAAATTAAAATTTTTTATCAGTAGGTAGATTGTAACAATTTACCTCACTGTGGGGCAAGTTGTTATTGAGCTAGAACAAAATATTATACACTTACAATACATCACTTGCAGTGTTGAAACAGATACCGTTTGAAAGATATCTAGATATAGGTATAGGTATTACATAGAAAATTTAGATATAAGTACAGATACATTTTTTTATAATTACCTAAGTATAGATACAGATATAAGTAAAAATATCGTTACAGATATAAGAAAAAGTATCGAAAATTTAGATATTTTTTAGGTATTTAAAAAAAAAGAAAAAAAAGAAAATAGAAAAAACAAGAAGAGGAAAAGATATAAACAGTGTAAAATATTACGTTTTATTTGTTTGTATTAATACATAAAAGAATGTCTCGATAATGAAAATTTAAGTCGAAATCAACAAGCTGTGTTCATATACAAAAGATTCCCGATTACGAGATCACTTCTCATGAGCGGGTACATTGAGAGAAATGATTTTGTAGGAATAAATCAAGGGAAAACAAATGTGATATTTGTTAAGAAAACGATCGATTAGTTACTATTGCAAATTATTTCTCATTCGTCAATGTAACGAATAATCAACAGTATCACTAGCAAATAAAAGACATATATATGTATACATAGAAGTCGTAGATGGTCGTAGAATCTCAAATCGTAAGAAATTGACCAATTCTAGTCAAGTATTCTTCTTATATTTGTCTGTGACTGGTCAGTTTCTCTCGACTTAAGACCCCACGATCATATATAGATTTGTTCACGTCGCATGTTCCAACACCTTCCAATATGCTCCTACTATAGTTCTTATTCACTCTAACGCGCTTGATAGAATGAGTAGGAGTTACGATAGAAGCATGTTGGAGCATGTTGGAACTTGCGATGCGAATAATCCTTATGATTTCTTGATAAATGATCCTAAAGTCTATCCAAAAGATAGGTTAGGTTTTATATAGCATTTACTTCTATTACTAATAATTAGTTGGTATAGCAGACTAGTAGCAATCACAACAAATCAATTTTGTAGTTACATATTTACCGATCACTTGTTAAAGGTACTTGTTAAATTAACAAAATCCTTTCTCTCTTTGTCAGTGTAAAACGGACTAAATTAAGTCAAGTTTTTTTTATTTACTTTATCATTTTGCAATTTTCGCAGTATTTTAGGAGATATTAATTTGTAAAGATTATCAAATAAGCACATATCCGTGCGGACTACCGTCAAGATTATAACCTATCAGTTGCAATCGATTATCGCGCGAGGACTATTTGGTAGGCGCGCGCCATAACTCAAGCAGCGCCCTTAGAAGTTCTCGCAACAAGCGATCGTGAATGGGCGTATACTTGGTGATAATCCGCGCGGATACGTGCTCATTAAGTGATATTTAGAAATTAATATCTCATAAAGTATTGCAAAAATTGATTCATAAAGTTTCACAACTGGAACTTTTCATTCATCATGAAATATGTTGTTAAACACAAAAATCTAAGAGACGTATTTTTTTATACGTATTGTAAATCATGTTTCAGAGGTGAAATCCTTTGAAAAAAAACGGTATTTTTCTTTTGAGACGAATATCGTCGGAAGTATAAAAGATGGAAAAAAATTTTTTAAACAAATGTTGCATAGTTTTAAGAGTATTTCAATGTCGTGAAGAAAAAAATTAAAAAAATTTTTTTTCTTCATAACATTGAAGTATCCTTAATGATTTACACTTATAGTTTAATATAGTTTAGTAAGATGATTTGCTATGTGATGATTTACTATGATTTATAGTAGATATAGTAATCAAAAATTAAGTTTCTAATATAACATAAAATAAAATGTATACGTATACCTTATACTTACGTATCTAAAACTTAAAAGATATCTAAAGATAACTAGATACAGATATCTCTGCTTATAAGAATCTGGGTAATGCACTTAGATACAGCTAAAGTACCTAGATATTAGATACTTTTTAGATATTTTTATCTAGATACGTTCCAACACTGATCACTTGAAATATATTATTATATATAAGCCAATTCAAATTTATAATGAAATCATGAAACTTCACAAGGAATATTTATTTTTTGATGAGGAAATTTACAAAAATATGTTAGAAAATTTTTTCTTTAAATAGTTATTAAAGTTAATGTTAGACGTTGGATAGTAATAAAATTAATTCTATGCATTTGCTGCTTTTCTCAGAGACAGACAATCATCTTTAACTTCCTTTGCCATTGTTGCATATTTATATTTACAGATCCTCTATTTTTTTTGTAAGATCGCACCATTCTATAGATTTTTATAACTAGATTTAATTACAACTGATTCAATATGATAGAAAAAGATAAATCTGATTCCGAGCTACTCTTATTTCAATTCACATATGCATATGTTGCGTCCTATCTGTGAATATCGCGTATATGAAAACACTAATGTCATCGTGTGATTTATACATGTGAGAGTGAGTGAATACAAATATGATGCTGTCCAGCGTTGTCTTCAAATATAGAGATGAAGTTAGCAGTCTATTTATAGTCTATTTGTAATGTGTAAATCATTCCGTAGAAGAAAAAAATTGTTCTCAATGAGATAAGCTGTTACACTATAACAACCTGCCCCGATCGAATTGTAACAACTTGTCCCAACCTTCCATTTTTTATTCGAAAAAATACATCGAAAATCAATACATATATCGATTCAAATAAAATGTGTTATTATAATCAAAAGTATAATCATATATAATTGCATATACAAATTTTTATTCGGATTACTTTTACAGAGGTTGAACTATATATAATAACACAAGCGATTTATATATAATGAAATATTTACTTTTAACAGTGAAAGTAAAAAAATATATGTAGCGTCTTCTGGAGTTCAATATGGCGGGTAAACAATAAACAATAAATGAAGTTGTAGAGTATCATAAAAATCACATATAAAAATGTGCTGCCATCTGTGGCAACTAAAAAAATTAATTGTAATAACTTATCCCATATAACAACTAGCTTCTCTCCCAAATAATATAAAAAATAATTAATGTAATATATCGTAGGAATAAAAATATTAATCAGAGAACATGCAATATATTAAAAAATCAATAATGTTGAAGATATATAACATTAACATATATTTATTATACTTTATTATATTTTATTATACTTAGAACTTAACGAACAGAATTGCTGATCAATATATGACTTTCTTTATACGATATTTGGATTTGTATTCTAAGGATTTTTTTACTCTTTTTTGATTTATATATATATATATATATATAAAACTGCGAAGCATTTTCTAATTCTATATAACTTCATTATTCTTAGATTAAGAGTAAAAAATATATATACAATGTATATGTACAAATACATGCCGAAGATGTATAATCACCTTTATTTGATTTTAGATATTTCAGAGTGCTTCATCTGAAAAAACTGTCAGTGAATTTTGTTTGCCATTGTTATATGTAGTCACCATGATTTTATGTCTGTTTATAGGCAACTATGGCGCACAGAATATAACAGATCACAGTAATTACGTATTTTCTACTGCGTAAGAAACATTTCATGATCAGTATATGAATGTTTGCACGGAAAGAACGATTTCATTAAAACAGAGATAGCTAAATATAGTGAGTTTGCTATCACATTGTTGATAAGTTGAAACTAATTAATTTCGACAAACTCGGGACAATATGATCGAGACAGCATTATGTTTGTTGAGAACTCATGTGAATTCAAATTCTATTGCAACAGCAAATCGATGGCAACGAAAATTTGCTAAAAAAGATGATTTGTGATAGCAACTTAACTATAACTAGTATTGTCAATTTGTTATTTGTAATTCATAGTAAAAGTGTTCCTTCTGTGCCTTTTAAGAATGGCTTCGTCGGAAAATGTATGTGTAAAAATTAATGCAGTTATACAACAAATTAGCATAGCTGAAAATAACTGATAAGAAAGTTTCTTTTATCAGTTAGCGATTCATTATCCATGTACAATTTCATAGGTACAACGTTCAGTGGTATAGAGCTCCGTTAAATATACAAAGAATGATATTGTTTCTATTACAAAGAAAAGCTAAGGAGTTTACTTTGAATATCGGTGGATTATTTACTGGTTCTATGGAGTGTTTCGCCACGGTAATATAATATCAATAACAATCTATGAGAGCGTTCCGATAGTGTTGATATTATACAGTATACGTTACGTATACTGTAAGCTATAGATTTTCAGCACTGGCAGTGAATATCGGAACGCATCCTATATCTATCACATTACAAATCAATATTGTAAAAAGAGATGTCTTTAATTGCAGTTAGTAAAGACTTCGATATCTTATTTTACTGTCATATATTCCACGCGATAACAAAATAAACATGAATTTAGTCATAAAATAATAAGAACATAGTTAATGAAAAAACAAGAGTCTTTAGAAAAAATAATGACATTATTTTTTGAGCACTAGTTATCAAGATGTTGTTAAGAAAAAAATGTAGAGAGTTAAAATTGTTCAAATAAAGATGTACACCATATTGTCGCAATGTGTTCAAACTAAGTATTGTATGTATTATATTAGGTGTACAACTTTGCTTCCGCTATTTTCCTATAGATGGCTTTAGCGGTAAGTGGTGGTCGAAATAAATAGATCATAGACGTCATACAATAAACTTGGGCATCTGTCAACATAACCCCATAGAAACATTAGTCGATTTGTGTCTGCATCATAAAGTTATTCTCGTTGAAAATGTCAGTTTACGAGCCAAATTCTCGTCATTTGCGGGAAGTTTAAATTTTTTGCTTCAATATGAAGAAATCTGCGGCTGAGGCTCATCGAATGCTCTCAAATACTTATAGTGAGGCCGTTATTAATGAAAGAACGTGTCGTGAGTGGTTTCAATGCTTCAAGAACGGTGATTTTGACATCCAAGGTCATGCTCTGTATTTGATGGGACCAGCTCGGCGTAGTGTATTATGAACTGTTAAAACCGACTGAAACAATCACAGGCGATCGGTATCGAATTGATGCGTTTGAGCCGAGCATTGAAAGACAAACGGCCGCAATACAACGAGAGACACGATAAAGTGATTTTGCAGCATGACAATACTCGACCCCATGTTGCGAAAGTGGTCAAGACATACTTGGAAACATTGAAATGGGAAGTCCTACCCCACCCGCCGTATTCTCCAGACGTTGCTCCCTCAGACTATTACTTGTTTCGATCAATGGCACACGGCCTGGTTGATCAGCACTTCCGGTCTTATGAAGAAGTAAAAAATTGGATCGATTTGTGGATAGGCTCAAAAGATGACCAGTTTTTTCGACGCGGGATTCGTACGCTACCCGAAAGATGGGAGAAAGTAGTGGCCAGCGATGGACAATACTTTGAATCATAAATGTATAACCAGTTTTTTACAATAAAGCCTCAAATTTCGGAAAAAACGGCGGAAGCAAAGTTGTACACCACAAAGTTGTATTTCAACAATCACATAATTTCAATTATTGAATTTAAGTAATTTTATATCTGCAATTTGTTGTGGAACATTTTTCCTAAACAATATAATAATTAAAATATTTGGAACTTTTAACTTCGTTAATTAATAACACAAGAAATGTAAAAAAAATGTAAAAAAGTAAGCATATAGTCACTAATTAACAATATTTTTAGACAGTTTAATACATAAAGTTGTTAATAACGCTGATCGTTATTAATTACGCTGATCGTTGAGTGATATTTATAAGTATGTATCTGTCGTGAATTTGATTCAATTATTTTCTAACTATAAACTTTATTATTCAGATTCGATACCAAAAGAATTCAAACTAAAAGATATTCTCCTCGAAAACCAAATGTGACTTATAAATGAATTAGAACAAAGTTTTGAAATTAAAAAGAAGAAAGAGCGCTTGTGTAATTGCTTTATTGAAATTTTTGATAATTTAATTTCATGAAAAAGATACATCCGCTGCGACAAATCGATCACGTAGAAATCATGTTGTAAAGAATTATGATACGTATGTAGATCATTCAAAAATTTACTAATTTCAATTCTCATAGCGAACTGCACATTTGGATATTATTGTTAAAAATTTGCGTTGAAATTTATGTAAAAGAAAGACATAAGAAAATATTTAATCGAAAAAAATTAACTTTAACAATTAAAGTGCAATAAATTAATTACGGTCATAAGATTCATATTTTTAGATTTTTCAGATTATGAACGTCAGATTGACGTAGAAAATTAAAGAAAAAAAAAATGAATGGAATTATTATTATCCGAATATGGAATTATAATATTAAAGATTGATCAGGATTCTACCAAAAAACTCATTGCGGAATTACGTCTTCTGGTAAAATAGAAAAACAATAAATTTATAAAAGAACCCATTTACAAGAGACTAACAACAGATGGAATCAATCCCCCGATCGTATGGTGCATCGAAAATTCAAACTTAAGAATAATAGTTTCTAATTTCTTCGATTAATAGTCCGTTACACTATCTACTTATTTACAATACATTATTAACATTATTAACAATAATATACCTAAAATACACAGCCACATAAAAAAATTCCAATTAATTAATAAGTTAGAAGGAATTTATTTCGAATCTAATCTAAAACTAACATCAGTTTTTTTATTTTAAATTTAACGTTCTTCACATTTAACAAAAAATTTTATAAACAGATTTTTGGTATACCTATGGAATCACCATTGTCACCGATCATAGCCAATATTGTTTTGAAAGACTGGAGGAGATTGCAATTCGATAGTTACCTTGTCCCCGAGAAATATTTAAGTGATATTTTAAACGTATTCCATTCATTCCATGAACGACTACACTTCATAAATTGAAGTGGATAATCGTCAGATTAAGTTATCTGGATGTAAACACCAATGTAAAGAATAGTATTGTTTTGGACTACTATAAAAACTAACCTACTTATGAAGATTTCTGTATTTTAATTCCCAACATCCGATATGTCACAAGAGGAGTGTAACATCTGATATGGTTGACAGACTAATATTATTATTTCATCCGATGTATACCACCAAAAAAATGTTACAACATTAGTGTACATTTTATTAAATAAGGGATATTCATTAAAATTCATTTTTTCGACAATTAATACGAGGATAAAATTTCCAAAACAAATTTGTCAACCATAACTAACAACATTTAAAACAATTAAATATTGAACGACATTTCACTGTATCGTATATCGAAAACCGTTTTCGAGTCATTCTTGCTAATTGTTTCGGGCCTACATAAAAGGATGCATTTATCCAATATGTTAAAAAAATGTTACTAGAGGAAAAGATTTATTGGGTATGTCGCATCAAGAAGTAATTTACAAAATACCATATGATTGTAATGTGATATGTGTAAGCCAACGAAACGTCAATAAAAAACTAGAATACGTAAACGACAGTACTAAAAAAACAGGGTCCATCTCAGTAATTTCAAATCATAAGTTGACCCTCGATCATAATTCTAAACGGAATGAAGTTAAAATTCTTGACAATGAGCAGTCGTATAACAAAAGGTTGATTTCGGAGATGGTACACATTAAAAAGCAATTAAATGGTTTAATTAAGCAAAGTGACACAGAATCTTTAATTCCTACCTTTCTATTTTACAAACATCCCTTCCCTAATTTTTTCTTCTCTTCCATTCTTTTTTCCCACCACGTCACGTTTTTCCTTTTCCAAAATTATGGCAGTAACTTAATTTCCTTCCTTATTTTTGTGTTATTGTGTAACATCACCTTGGAGAGATATCTAATTACGCGATAACCAATATTTTGTACCTCTAAGGAAATTTGCGAATCCACTGTAATTGTGTGAGCTGAGAGAAAATGAGTGGGCAATATTTAAGATATATAATTCAAATTTAATATTGAGAGTAAATTTAAAAATATAACTGTAATATTTTTATTGCCTTACAGTTTAGTTCCACTACAAGAAGCAGTGTCGATTTACTGAAATAAGTTCATAGGACAATGCTTTTGTTATCTTCTAAGCGATTGCAGTAAGAGAGCAAATCTTTTATCAACAATACATACTGAAAATTCACATTGTCATTGAAGGAAAACATATATATAATGTTAATTTTAATTTTTATGCGATCTCATGCGGATCATAAAACATTTTAATCATAAATCTTATTCTATGTTTTTTGTATATATTTAAACGTTTTTGAACCACGCGACAATTTTATTTTTCATGTTTATTTAATCATGTAATTTTATTTAATCATGTAATTTATCTATTATATAACCAATATTGCAACCTTTTTATTTTTATTTTTATTTTCCAATTGTAATTTTTATGAGTTACACTGAAGATGATAATGAAGATGATTATAACGTTTGTATTTTACATGATTATAGCGATTGCATTTGGAATATAAATTGACTTTTTAACAATTAATCATTAATTTTGACTGGTACGAATTTTGAGTGTAGCCTTCCTCCTTTAACAATTTATTTTCTAAAGAAACTTTACTGCCTGTGCTATTTACAGTTGTTTTTATTTTATATTTGTTTATATCGAATTTTCTGATACAAAATATGACGAATTACAATAATTATTTGCTAATGTATAAACGACTTTCTCACACAACAAACAAGGATCACTTTACAAATTTTTATACCGAAATAAATATTTAAAATCATTAGTATTGTATGACTAAAATAATTCGTAAAAAATATTCATAAATTTTTTCTTACTTTTCTTTCAAATATCGATTCTTATCTTAATAATTTATGTAGATACAGAGTTAAATTGTAACTAACTCCCTTATACATCTATAGAATGATACTCTTCTTGTTGATAAAAAGCGCTAAAAATTTCCATTTGATTATCAGAGTTGTTTATTATTCACTAGAGTGCTTTGCTATGATATATAATAGTGTGTAGCGTTTTTTTGAATATACTGTAATATATTAAAAGTAAATGCAATAATATGCTTGTATTAATAAAAGCTTTGGAATCTTATTTTACCATCATGTTATCACACACAGTGATAAGATAAATATGAATTAAATAAGAACATAAGAAAATATATATTAGAAAATATATATTAGAAGAAAATAAAATAAAATTTCTCACATTTAAAAAAAAAGAAAATTCTATTTTTTATTAC